TATTGTGTATCAAAAGTAGAGACTAATGTGGAATTGTATTGGACACAATCAATACGCTTCGGATTCATGTTTCACCACAAGGTCACGCAGTAATAACATTCACGGATAATCACTTCACAATTAGTGAAGCTTTCACCAATAATCAACCATTTCGAATAATATCATATACACAAAGAAATACAAAACTACTGAATTGATTTGGGAAAAGTAGTGGAATATCAAACGTATGTATAACTATCGAAAATTAGGATAAGGCATGTCGCCGGTATTTGGTTAATAGTATCATCTTTATAATATAAAACTACACATACCTCGCGAAAAGAAAGACTTTGAACATCGTTATGCTACGAAAGTGAATCTAATCTAGTTGTTAGTAAATCTCCAAGTAATCAGTTAGAAATAGTAGCTTTGAGTATTTTCACTTATTAGTTTGGTAGACAAAATAATCCATCTGAAATTACTGAATAGTTTTACTGCATACACATATGCGTTCTCTTCCATGTAGCCGGTTTATTTGCAAAACTGTAGCGTTCATAGCATATTTTTATGATTCACTGCATGCGAAATCATCCATAATTTATTTTAACTCTGGTATACAACAACACAAATAGAGTTACAAAAAGCGTTTCATTTAATTTGGACCATCGTACTCGTTCCAAAATGGTGGGGTCTGACTGTCGCTGTGAAACGTGTAATTTCTCGTCGTTGACGAAGAATTTTCTGTCGAAAATTTCTGTACACGCTAGTTATCGATGCAAGACAGATGAAGGGCAAAAAAAAAATAACAAAATAGCAAAGAAAAGAGAAATACTGTGAAGCCTTAACTCCAATATCGCTTGGTAAACCGCATAAATGAGCGATGTTAAGAATACTGAGTGGACAATTGACAGATAAATTAAGAGCAGTGAGAGACATAAGCTGAATTGTCATCTTTCGCTGCTTGCGCCATTGAACCGGCAAACGAGAACGATATTTCTGCCAGACCACTCGAAGCATAAAAGCAACGCTGAAAAATGCTTCCAACGATGTTGGCATAGTAATATTAGTGAATAAATCGAAAATGCCCATAATCGGATCTTGTAAATAACATGGAGATTGATTACAGTAGGGTAATGTATAATCGTACGTATTGTTACATGGAAAACCATAAAATGCATAAATATAGAAAATGAAAATATACAGAATTAAGAAAAGCAGTGGTAAATAATGCACTATTATGCGTCGCTTCCTTGTTGAAATCCATCGATCATGAAATATGATTATGTGTCGCTCGAAAGCAGTCCAAGCCAAAAGTATGGCTCCTCCATTGTACATGCCAATGTCCGTAAACCACCACAGGATACAAATTGATGGATTCGCTGGAACAACACTCGAATGTACGATAAAATTGAGATAGAAAGGAACATCAACTAATTGAGTGCCCAAGCCAAGAATAAGCAATAGAACAAGAGAATGGTTTTTTACGCTAGAACGTAATTTTCGATCCATAAGGATACAGCAGAGAACGAACAATGTACAAATTACGGATGGAATATTAAATAGGAGAAGAATCCAAAAGCGAGCCGTGCGTGATATAGATATCTCTGTGTTGGCAAATGAAAGGTTACCCGTGTTGTTCGAACTTTGATTGTCAGACATTACTAAATATTAAAAAATGATGACAAAGATCATGTCACGTAACAGAATATATTACAAAAATAAATCTTTGTATATCAAATAACACACGAAAGCTCTCTATCATTTACCGTATGTATGCAGCTCCTCAAAGATAAGAATTTTAAAAAAGAATGACTAGATTGAAATTTTTCCCTGCATGAAGCCGATAGAAAAATATTAGCAACGCGCAAATCTTGAGAGTTATCACGCCAGCGACTATAAGCAGCATAGTCGATTGAGTAAGCTGGATACTTATTAAAAGCTTAGAAAAATTGTTTTTTAGTATTTAGCGCAATTATGAAACGCGATAATCCCATGTAATCTCAAAACGCTTTTTAGACGCAGTTAGATGCGTTTGTGTTGCAAATGTTGCCGTTTTGATGCGTTCCGATATCGAGTTATGATAAAAAAAAGCAGATAAAGCCGTTTGTAATTATCTTTTAAAACGCGTGTGAACGCAATCTGTGTCTATTCTTGTGTTGGATCGTGTGGTAATCCCAAGTTTGGTAGAAGATAAAAATGTCGATAGCTAATATGTCGAAAAGTAAATATATCGAATGAACAATAAAAAAAAATCGTTTGTGACATTTTTTTGAGGATATAAAAAGCTAAGTATGTCAGCTATGTGTATTCAATAAAAAAGGAAGAATCGGAAAAAAATAAAAGTGTTCGATAAGTTAATTAAGTTAGGGAAGTTAGCACAAGATTCGAGTTTTTCCAGCCCGGATTCGCCTATATGGTTGTGTTGAATTTCATTTTCGTTGCGTTGGATGCAGAATTTTTCGCTGAATTGAATGGTGTAATTTTAGAAGGGGGTTACCGATCAAAATCTGGCACTTTATCCGAAAATACTGCTTTTTATGAAAATCTTGTAGAAGTAATTTCAGCCCGGATTCGCTGCTTTAGCTGTGTTGGTTCTGGAAATGGTTGTGTTGGATTCAGAATGAAATTCTGCATCGAATGATGCTAAACTTGTATGGGGTCATCGACCAAAGTTCTTCGACTTGGGTGGGGCTGGAATATTGATTTGGAGGGATGACTTGGGTGAGACCAGAAATTTTTTGATCGATGGCCCCATACAAGTTTAGCATCATTCGATACAGAATTTCATTCTGAATCCAACACAACGATTTCCAGAACCAACACAGCTAAAGCAGTGAATCCGGGCTGAAATTACTTTTACAAGATTTTCATAAAAAGCAGTATTTTCGGATAAAGTGCCAGATTTTGATCGGTAACCCCCTTCTAAAATTACACCATTCAATTCAGCGCAAAATTCTGCGTCCAACGCAACAAAAATGAAATTCAACACAACCATATAGGCGAATCCGGGCTGGAAAAATTCGAATCTTGTGCTAACGTCCCTAACGTTTCAAATGGTTGACTCAGGATTAAACTTAAAACGTTTACAATTAAAATGCTGAGATAAAGATAGAAAATAAAATTTACAAATTTCTTCGGAAAAAAATAATATAGTATAGTCAAGCAATGTTTTAACCACGAATTCGCTTGTTCGTGTCACACACTGTTTACATCTGAAGAAATCTGCTATCTTTCGAACATACATCCCTCTTAATACAGAGTAAAGGAAGTCAAAGGAGTAAAGGGAGTACAGGTATTAAAAGGACTAAAGGGAGTACAGGTATTAAAAGGACTAAAGGGAGTACAGGTATTAAAAGGACTAAAGGGAGTACAGGTATTAAAAGGACTAAAGGGAGTAAAGGGAGTAAAAGGACTAAAGGGACTAAAAGAAGGGTGTGGGTTTGCAACTTATATATAGAAAAGTAAAACGGGATAAAATAAATTTCTCGTGGATCTATGATATTTTCTTTTTATTAATTTTATAACTAATTACGCTTGATTCATTTCATTAATTTTGGTGCTCAAATAGATTCGTCCGAACCTAGCTGGAGCAAGAAGTATTAATCCTTTTTCAAAATTTATCAGAGTCTCACGAATGATAAGTTTCAACGGACAAAATTGACACGTTCAATATGACTGAAGTAGATAAGGCAACATAATAGCTTATGGATTATAGTAATATTTGTTTGCTGTGAGTCTCCAATTTTGTATACTGTACAAAAGAAATGACTCACTTTTAAAACGCTATCTTCTAATTTAGTTTATATCTGATTATGTTTGATCAGTCAAAGTAATAAAGAATGAATTTAAATGTCATTGTTGTCAGATTCATCATTTTTCATTCTATATTTATTGAATATTATTATATTTTGTTCATGCAAGAATTTGTTTCTATCTATATTTCAGATGGAATCAGTACAACCGGGTCTCTCAGTTGACCGTATTCAAGGTCATTGCGAATTGGATATCAATGATCTTAAATGTGATATTTGTACGAAGATTCTTTGGCAACCAGTTGCTTGTAGGAATTGCGAAGTAGCTTTTTGTTCCACTTGCATCAATCAATGGCTTGCACAAAATTCGGGGGTATGCCGAAAGAATTGCCGAGAATTTGTTCAACGATCATGTCCTCGATTCATCGTACAACAACTTTCTCGGTTACAGTTCACGTGTCAAAATTCATTGCAAGGTTGTGATCAGGTAAAGTATCCTTGAAAGATTAAAATTCATATAAAAAGATTGTTTATCACTCATTGGGTAGGTTCTTGCCTACGATAGAATCGAAGCACATGAGCTAGAATGTGGCTATAAACAATTACAGTGTCGCGGTTGTCATGAAGCAGTGTTGAAAATGAATCATATTGATCATGAGAATACTTGTCTACAGATCGAGTTAACATGTTCAGAATGCAATACAACGTACAAAAGAGGCGATGGTACTTTTGTACATACGGAAGTTATCTGTTTAAGAGAACAACTTCGACAACTTCGCCTAGAGTTGCAGGCTCATAAGAAGCACGCAGGTCAACAGATTGATGAGATAACTGAAAAAATACAACCGCTATCTGAAACCCTTCAACAACTTCAACAAGTGTCTGAATCGAACAATCAACAGGTCAGTAATGATATTAAAAGCTTTCAGCAAGCATTGGAAGCCGACAAGGAACAAACGAGTAAAGAAATTCAACAGATTCAACAAAAATTTCAAACAACTGGAGAAAAATCGAGCACTGAAATGGGAGATTTAAAAAAGGCGCTTGAACGTAAGTGAAGTTTTTTTTTTTATAAATTTTCGCACCGATTGATCATCTACCTGAGCTAGATTTGATTTCCTAATAAGCCGTGGCTTGCATTAAACTGATGCAGTTTTTCGATTACAAGAAAAGGGGCACGTGCTGTGATTTTTAGTAATGTTAAGTGTTGGTTTTCTAGACATGAGCATAATCGACCATCGTGCAAGAGCAATCAGACAGACATGCAATACTAGGGTGTGGGTATGAGATTACTGTTCGTTTTGATTCATATATTTCGTTATATAATTCTCTATTATAAATTCGACATGCAAGGATGTCTATTTTTAAGGGTGAATAAGTACGATGATAGAGGGAGAGGTAGTACAATCAATCCTAACTCATTCATAAATTATAAAGTAGTAAAATATTTAACGGACAGAGACCGTATTCTGAGAGAAATCACGTCGACAGTTTCGAGATTATTTTGTTAGTGATCGAGTAGAACGAATAAAATTTGAATCTATGCTCCATTGCCTGTAGACCTTTTGAAAATGTATTAAACACTTTCTAATAAAAGTAGCAATCAATCATATTTTTTTATAAAAAAATCTGTTACAAAAAAGCTACACTGTATTTTTTTTAAATTCTATTTTGTAGAAAATCGACTTTAAATAAGCTACTGCATTTTCAAACTTTTATGATTCATTCATCGAATTTCTATCATTTAGAAAATGCTTGATTTTCCAAACAATAGAATTTCAATTTAATTTACTGCATAAAATCCAAACTTGAATATCAATATTTTCTTTTCAAGAAAGTAGAAATTCATTACTGAATTCATTTAGGCATTCTATTTTTTACAGTGTATAGCTGATATCATGAAATAAATCTTGTCGAAAGTGATTTAGTATGGAGTTGGTATTGATTTGTAGCATCATTTCTCGAGTTTAGTTGATTGCATTAATTTTTAATCATATCACAAAAGATTTGGTCGCTAGCTTTGCCTTTTGAAAAATGATCAGTTTACAGTAATATTTTGAGAATTCTCAGCATCTTTTTTCCAGTAAATTTCGTCTATTGCTGTTTATCGCCCAAGTTATTTTGTCTTCATGTTCAATATATGAGAGCAAATATTCGCGAAATTGATGTGTTGCATTTCATCTCAGATAAGGTCATTTACTTCTAAATTAGGGATGTAGAATCCAAACTTTGTGTCATTGATTTTTTCTTTCATGAGATCATTATGAGTGCTGTACAATACAACAGTGACTTCATGACTCAGCTATACAATAGAATCGAAAATTGAGTATATATTAATACGAATAACAGAGGCTAAATCTTTTTATTTAGAATACAGTACGGCTGATTAGAATTCTACAGTAACTTCATCATTTACCATTTGTTTATCATTACAAAAAAATTGACATCGTGACCAGTAAAGTAGGTGAACAAGAAGTTATTCGATGTGTTTGTGGCGGTACTTGCGATAAATCATATTTTATGTGTGCCAGAATCAATAGATGAATCGATAGAGAGATTTCAAATACGTCAAATAGTGAAACAGGTTTGTTTCTGTCGCAAATGTGCTGGCTGTCGTGATTGGAAACGTGAAGACAATGGTTTGAATCGGCCATATAGCACGTGATGGTCAGTAAATTGATTGATACAAAAGCTTCACTTGTAGCGAAAACAAAATAAATGAATCAAATGATTGGAAGCGTTCTAAAGATCCTTTTGCGATATGATCATCAGTTTATGTAATAATTCGAAACTAATGTATGAACGCATGATTACAATAGCCGAACTGAGCTCTGTTGGCGATAGTTGCCGTTTTCATATGAAAAATTTGTTGCGTGTGTGAATTTTTATCAGAGACGAAGTGAAATCTATTGCATTAAAGTCAGCGGAATAAATGAACAGAACGGTTTTCATCAGAAAAATACATTCGTCACGTGATTGTTGATCGCATTTTACCGTTACAGTTTTCTTTGCCGGAAAGTGTTGATATCTGAACAGAATAGTCGTCATAAAGATAATCTATTTATCTGTATAACACGAATTCAAAGATGAATCCACGACTAGTAGCTTTGAGTGAGTAATATAAGTAAATAACTATGTACAATTAACAGTCGTTCAGTTACCATATGATTTTTTTCTCGATTAAATTTGATCGGTTTCTTTTGAATACACCAGCATTTGTGAGTTGAAATTTTGTAGTATTTGTCGCTGTCATTAAATGCATCATGCAGACTAGCAACAAACTTCAAGCACGACATTTTTTGACTATTAGTTATTCTTAGTTTGGATCCCTATATCGACAATATGACTAGAAACTATTTTAGACCGCAATAATTAGTAATATTTTCTCTCGTAAATAAAATAAAAGCCTAAAAGCTACACATTCCTCTATATATTAATATATTTAGACGTTCAAGAATGATGATGATAACATGCATTCAACGAAAATGACCTACAAAAAATGGTAGCAAGGTATAATGTATTACAACTTGGGGAACACGAAGTCAATAAAAGAATTCAAATATCTCGTTGCCACTTTTGTGTGATTCAATAGAATAAACTTAGTGTTGTGTCACAAAAATATAGGATCCATGCAACTAGAAAATTTATTCACATCAGACATTCTTTTTTGAAGGAAGACAAGTGATCATAAACATAATCGAAAATGTATCACGCTTCTCTTTCACGAGAACAAAAGTTCTCGCCATTGCAAAGCCCTATTGCTCTGCTGATTTCCGCTACTTTAAGCGAACGGAAGGTAGTGGACTTGAATCAACTTCCTTTGAATATAATCTCATATGAGTAATGATCTGTTTGGGTAGCCCTCTCGGACTGAAGTATGGAATTCATGTATGCCTGTACCTATAATAAGGATTCAAACTATCTTCATCCTTACAGAAAATGCTGGTAACGCTAATCTTTCAATTTGTCTCTGTTAATCAGAAATAGAGTACAAATAAGAATAGCAACGAAATAAATCATCATTACATACTGAGATAGAGAAGCCGTGAGAATTTACTTTGGCAATCACTCTCATCATTTTCATCGGTTGCAAGATAAGATCATGATATTTTTAAAGTTTCTATCAAAATCTTAGAAAACTCTACAACGCAGTTAGAAGAATTGTTTTTAAAATAGTAACATGAATGTATTTCCGTGTATAAATGCGATTTTTGCTTCAAATATAATTTGAATTGAATGACGATAGAACTTCATTGGTATAAAGTAGTGATCAAATGATGAAGTAGAAATGTCAGGGAGAGTAAAAGTGGCATACTTCCTAGAAAATCCACAATGTATGAGCAATCTACAGAAGATCTATGTCTTCTTTTGGGGAACATCTCAACTAGGTTATGCTCTTTTTTAATATAAAATTTATTCCCATTGATGTCAATCTAAAGGTACAAAGACTTGTTGAAGATCATATATTTATTTCATATTATACAAGGAGCAGAGGTTTAATTCGTCTAGTTTGTTAAAATGATTTCTATTGTAGGAAACTGAGCAACTCTATCTTTTAGTCTTTTGTTTTCGTAAACTGCTCCGTATCTTTTCGTTGTAGTTGTAGTTTGACTTGCTATAGCTCTAAAATACCAAGTCGTTTTGTTCTTCTCTTTTGGCCTCGTTTCTTGGTCGACGAACTGACTGCAACACCACCAGGTATTTTCCACTTTCATCAATTCATCATGTGTTAAGATCCGATTAATCACACTGAATGAATATCCCATAGTCAATAAGAATGTTCGATTGGTTTGCTGGTCTATTCGAACATATCTTTTCAAGAAATTATGATTGAATGTTTGATAAGCAAGTTTCAAAAGATTCATCGTTTCGCGTGGATTGGTCGTATGCTCTTCAGGAAATGGTTCCCAGTAAGAGAACATATGATGTAAAGAAACGAGTCCTTGTATACCACTTTCGAAATAACCGTCCATATCTCCTTCATGATCCATTTGATGAAAATTCTGATTTCTTGTCAAATTTATTTTTAATATTTCAGTAATACATTTACCAATCATTTCATCACCACCAAAAAAATGACGGAATCGTCGACAATCTTTCATATGTTGTGCTGCTTTTAGCGCTAAAGGTCGACTTACAATAATACCACCACCTCCATAAGCGTAGTAAGTTCCATGGCGGCGTATGGCTTCTAATTTATCAGAGATATTACCTAAATAGATGGACGTAGATGAATTGTATTGTTGTAAAGTCTCCAAAAGATTATCTAAAAACCAAACAGTATCGTCATCTCCGAAGGCAAACCACTGTATTGTTTTTACACTAGCATTTGAACTGCTATTTGATGAGCTCCAAACTTGTTCGATCAACTCGAGATATCTTTCTTCAAAACGAATAATATTAGAAGTTTGTATTTCACACGAGATTCCTTGACCAGCAAGATAACTGTTCATAAGATTCGCGGATGCCAAATCCTTTCTTTCGAAAATAGCTAAGCAATGAATATTTGGTCTTGCTGCCCAAAATTTTACCGTATGAATCGTCTGACGAATACGTATTGTATTAGTAGTAAATGCAAAATATATCTGCTCAATAAAATATTTGTGAATAGAGGCGTTTAGAGTTCGCTTTATCGGCAGTTCTTCATACTCATGGCTAAATTCATTTAGCGTCAATCTTTTAGGTGTCGGCGATTTGTCATCAACTAATGTTTGAACTAATACTGCTGCAATCCGTTTTGTCTTCGATTTCGAACTTGGAATATTGATACCATCGAAAAGACTAGCCTTTCTTTCACTCATTGTATAACACAGACTTATTACACCATAGATACTGTACACGAAGAGACTGATTATCAGCAAATACTTGAATAGGTTTACCCATTTTTTAAATCTAATCATTAGCAGATATAATATTATCAATTTTAATTGATAAACTGGAATCTATGAAAAGAACAATAGTACATTCGGTGTACACAATACATCAACGTTGGACACTGTGGTTTCTGGTGCTGGTATGTTAAATTGCGCACATGGATGTTAATTTCACGTATGTCTCTGTTGTCCTTGAATGAAAAACAAAGTAGGCTACTATTGTCGTAGGCAAACGAATAGTCATGGCATTTTTTTTCTTTTCTGCATCGTTGTATAAAATATTAATTATTTTTTTTTCTACCAAAAGAAGAATTACTCAGCTTTATAGAGACTTCGTGTGTGAGAATGTACATTCGAATGAAGCAAAGTAAAATGCATGTGTGCGTCTTAACGAGTTGCCTTTTGGAAGCCCTGATTGGAAGTAACGAATGGTGAAGTTTATTATTGTATTGAGTATGAATATAGAAGAAGTTGCAATTGTGATTTTGAGTGAAGAAAATACCTAAATTCTCATTCATCAGTTTCATAACGCAAAAATGGAATTCAGGCTTATAGACTGAGCTTTAGATTTTTCAATACCCATTATCATATGGATACTATAACCGTTCTAACCGTTAATACTGCTTTAAAAAAAGTTTAGTTATTGATATTTTTTGCTCAAACTTTCCCTTTCTTTTTGATTTCCTCCTAGACATGTCCCTTGTTAGATTTTCGTTTTAAATATCCGTCTAATTATTGAGTTTTTTTCCCCACTGCTGTCGTTTCCACCCAATCTATCCAGCGACGAATCACACAAATGCATTAGTGATCTCTCGAAAAAAATATATTAAAGAAATGGTTTCCACAAATATGTATTTTTGTTCGTACTAGTGGATTTCGTATAGATTTACAGTGGCAAACTGGCAAATTGAATTCAACTGAGTTTTAAGCTTTTAGCTTTCAATTTTGAACTATATGATATCTTGTAGAAGTATTCACAGAAAATCAAAAAATATCAGTTCAGGAGACATTCGCGGTATAGGAGGTATGCATGAGATGCGCTGTTTCCGCCCTTTGTCACACGCACACCCATATCCCCATAAAAGGACAACCATCCCTAGCGTATACTTTTATTATGAAGAGAATTCACACATTTTGAAACTGTGGATTAATAAAAAATTTCCCTCCGCCTGCGTTTCGTCGAACACATTGATTAAATGAGACGTGTTCGCATTGCTCTCGACTAAACCACCATCCATGATCCATCCAGCCATTATAAACGCATTCTTTAGTCAAATATTGAGCAGCATAGATGGCTGCTCCTCCAAAAGCTGATTGAACTTCGATCAATGGATGATTACGTGGAATTGGTTTATTGTGCATAACGACAGATCTTTTAATTGCCCATTGCCAAGAGATTGAAAAGAATGATGCTTGCCGTGCTTGCTCCCAAAAATCGTAGGTTATTGTTGGCCACGATCGTAATGCCCATGCATCATAATACCAATCTGTTTGAGAAGCGGTCATAGCTGCCCACGACGATGATGGATAAATAAAATTCGTAAGAAAATTATTGACACTGAATGTTTTTGTTGATGTCACATCAACATCAAGTACAAAATAGTAATCAAACCAAGGCATATCAGTACGCGCACGTTTGAAAAGAGAATTACGACAATGAGCAAGACGTGTCGTGCCTAAGAAAAGTAGCTTTTAAACCATTCTTTATTTGTTTTTCATTCATTTTAACTATTGGATAGGTGTTATAGAAAAGGAACGATAGAGCTTTGAAAGTTTCTGAGTATCTGGTTTATAGTTTTCGAAATACTTCTGATAACTTTGGCTAAGTCATCGTCAAGAAAATACTCAAGAGAAAAATCAGCTAGAAGTCGAAAGGTTTCTCTGGCATTTTATGCTTCAAATATATAAAAATATTTTTTTCTTTTCATCTTGCGAAGGAAGGAAGTGCAAAAAATCAGTTTTGACAAAAAAAAGATAGAAACTCTTAATTTAATCAAGTATGAATCTCAAATCGAAAGCTTCAGTATGAGAAGAAATCGTTTAAGGTCTCATCGCATTCCTATAATGCTAGTCGAATTTTCAGTATGCTCTAATCGAAAACCCCTTGGCCGCCACTATTGTAACCAAAGAACTCTACTGATTCGCTCTCCTGTCCTTTCATCACTCGTAGGCACTAGAATTAGACTTCTCAAACCAAATGTGAACACCATTAGTATAATCGACCATAGATTTCTCACTTTAGAGAAATAAAAATCTAAATATATACCAGGGGTCGCAGCAGCCTATGTCTCAAAATCAGGAATTCAGGCAGGACACAAATTGAAAAAAAATCAGGACATTTTCAGACTTACTTAGATAGCGCACTAATCGATTAAATTTTTAAAAAAGTGAATAAACTAATGGTAATCTATTTTTACAACCACGTGTATTGCCCTCGATGAGCTATATAAATCACGAAGGAAAAATCAAGAATGTAAAGAAATCATTTTTTGTTAGATGCATGCTTCTAATTCTTTTTTTCCGTTTCGTTCTCTCTCTTACATGATTTATTCTAGCTCACATCCTCTCCGTCTATATAAATATATATCTACATATGTATTATACTAGTTTATAATCGAGTATTGTTTCTTTACATCTTGTCTCTTGTATTAAACGTTTTCGAATGCCAAGAACCACCTGCTTTTGTTCAAAATAGTTGCTTAAACCCGATAGCACTGGCAAAGTATGTTCCAGGTGACTTTCAAGAGGTTAAACGAAAAGTTCTTTTCGATGTACAGTATGTAAAACAGATGATCTTAGTTGTGCTAATGGAGGATGTATGTATGTAAAGAAACATTTTGAGCGACCTAAACACATACAATGTATCAAAGATGTATTTGGCTCTATACCACTGATTGCTTCTACTAATCCATCATCAACTCTATCTAAAAATACATATAATGTTAATTACATGTCCAGCAACATCATCCACAAATGAAAATACAACAAGAACTTCTTTTATTGTTGTTCAAAATGATCAGAGATCACTAACAAGTGAAGAAAGTAAGTTGTGGCAGTTTCTATTTCGATGGAATTTTCTATTTCATCCACTGATGCTTAACAAATGGAAAACTACCATGGTGTGAGAATAAAAATCGAATAGAAGTTTTTAGGCGAACTTATATTGTGATGACGAAGAAGAATAGAAAAAAGGACTGATGTGAACTATTATATCATTAAGACAGTTTTACTAAGAAAGAGAACGAAATAACGCATTGTTTATTGTAGTTGCTGACGCTTATGATAGACTGGTTTATAGAAACTTTTTATGTTAGACGGAGTTTAATGAATTCTTATAAGCTGATGTTTTTTTTTTCAAATATTTTCTGCTGATTTAGTTTTACTTTAATATGAAAGGGCGATTTACGTACTTATGACATTAACTTCATGTTTCAGAAATTACTCGTGCAGAATGAATATGGGCAATGACAACAGCTCAACTTGGCATATCATACAGTACTTCACAATTTTTACCAGAGATTTTTAGATCAATGTTTCCTGATAGCCATATTGCTAATGATTATTCATTACGTCCACAAAAATTATCTTATGTTGTTTCGCATGGAACCAGTTATTACTTTAACAACGAGTTAATTAAAGATGTACGTAAAGCTCATGGATTTTTGTTACTTTTTGACGAAACAACTATTGTTGGTGTTCGTAAACAACTCGACATTTTTTTTCCGGTACTGGACTGCAACAGGTAACTGTGTATGTGTTCGCTATTATAAAAGCATTTTTCTCGGGCGTGCTACTGCTGATGTAGTTTCTCGATCTATTGTTGACTCACTACGAGCTGATGGAATCAACATTACAAGAATGCTGATGTTGGGTATGCTATTTTTCAAATCATTTTCTCAGAAGTATGCTTTATTCACATAGGAAGAGACAACCCAAACGTGAACAAGTGTTTATTATCTTTATCTCATGGAAATAGTGATGTTGAATGGGGCTTTCTCCAAAATAATCATCTTGTTACAGATGAGCGTTCATCATTAAATGAAGCATCTATCAATGGTCTACGAGCTACAAATGCTGGTATTAAATTCTTTGGTGATAGCAAAGTTCACATGGCGAGTATTTGCCTCTTTTTTTCTAATGTTTTTAGTTTCTTTCTTTAAGGTACCAATAACTAACAGTTTACTGTTCAGTGTTCAACAATCTTATTCACGTTACGCGAAAGATAATGACCGACAGCAGAAACTAGTGAAGAATGTTGATACTGTCAATGGAAAACGAACTATTGATACTTAACAAGAACAATTAGAAGAAAAGAAATTCAGCTGCTCAAGGAACAAAAGCAATTGCAAGAAGATTTGGCTAAAGCAACTAATTTGCTAGAAGAGGGAAGCAAAAGACTTGCTGCAGCTATCAACAATAAGACATTTGATGATCTTAGTACAGCTGAAGTACTTGTAACAGCTACTAATACAAAACTTGCTGCTTTAAAAACTCAATTAATTGTAAATAGTGAAAATTTGAACCGATTACGAAAAAAAACCAGAAAGAATGAAATTATTTATGATTTAAATAAACATAATTTGAACACTAAATTTCTTTTTCGTAAAACTTATCAAATAAGTACATCTATATAAACCTTGAAATATTGAGTATAACAAAAGAAAATGTGAAAGTCATTTATATCTAGGCCTATAGGTAAAAACCATAAAATATGAGAACAAAATCAGGAAAGTAGTACTGCTTCGAGGCCTGATATAGAGAGCATTGTGTTTCAGTTTTTCCTTCCTGTGTTTCAGATGACGACCTTCGATCAATTCGGATTCTAGTTTTTGCGCTTCAACACATTTTACATCGGTAAATTTTGATAGATTTTGAAGACTTAGTTTCAATACAAGAGTTTGCCAAAGAAAGTTTTTTTCGGTACCTCACAAGATTTTAATTCTCTATTTTCAATCTTAGTCAAAACGGTGAAATATATCTTTCTGCCTGCTACACTTGGAAAATCTAGATGTAAAAATTAGTACCTATTAAATGAGACGAAATTCAAGAGCTGAATGTATCTTGAGCTTAATTTAGTCATCTTTATAGGATAAAGCACTGGAGAGTCGATGATAGAAGCTACAGTTTTTCTATTCAGTGCTAGAATTTGGATAGCTACGGAAATTCTACATATCGGTGCCTTTAAAAGCTGCGTAGCTTCCTTCATCTTTTGAATAAATGCTATCGACAGAGTACCATCATTTTTGTTTTACGTCTCGAATAGGAAAAACCCTCCGTTTCTATTTGAAAAACGTGTGCGCTGAGAAGCGAACATAGAAGATTGTAACTAATTCATATAAATGAAATTCGATAGATTCAAGCCTGCTGAGTCCGGATATACAGTTCCGTTCCATAGCAGCCTGGGTCAACGTATTTTATTTATCAATCAGAACTGTTTGATTTGCTCCAGACGATATCAATAGGAAGTACTTACGAAAATAATGTCGCCATCTTTGTTGTCCTGAAGTGTAAAGTTGAACATGATCAGAATCATTTTTCATCCATTCTTTGATGAATTTTACGGTACCATCGTTGGAATCTGATTCCTCCAAATAGAGACGGTAAGATCGAAATAAGGCACCTATAGCGCGAATATTTTTTTGAAAGCCAACAAGATGCTTTTCGACATTTCGACAACATGCTGCTATAGCTAAAGTAAAATTGGTCAGGTTAACTTCATCAATGGTTATTATTGGAGATGGCCGTGTTCTTCCTGTTTGATATGTTCGATTGTCTTGCCAAAAAGCTACTGATGGAATTGGAGATTTGATCATAAAATATTCATAAACAAGTTCGTAAAAAAGACGCCCAATAATTAAAATTAAAATAGTCAGGCAAAGCATTTTTAATGTTCTGAAAATCTTTTTTTGACACCCTCTCATGTTGTAATTCGTCGATCTCCTAGTTTTTTTTTATTCACTGACGATATTCTTGACCTATTCAATAAATAGTGGATGTCAGTAATCGGAATTATGTTGAGTTTAAGAAGCAAAATTTTTCTTTTATATTATTCCATTGCCTGCATGTATATATGAACAATTATTTCTCTATAACGAAGCAATCTTTTCTTCTATACTTCTAGCAACGAGTAGCCTTAATTTGGTATCTATATTGCATTCACTGTAAAGTGAAAATATTATGCGTGGAACTCTAATTCAATAATAATCTTCAAAGCAAGTGATCTTATCATTTGCTGCTAGTAACTAAAACTTCGCATAAATTACAAGCTTCCCTGCTTAATCGATTACATCAAGTTTCGATGCATTTTTGCGTATTCTAAACCAAAATATTTTGAAGGATGTCAACTCAAATGAATCAAAGCATAACTATCCCCCTAATAACTTCAAAATAGAACTCTTATCAATGTACACGCCTTCGTCAAGTATATATATATATACATATATACTTGATCAAGGCCCTTTGGATGTTCACTATAGGAGAGTTATATTGTACTAGTTTCTGAGAAGTCTCGACGTATTAATGAAGTGTTCGAATCATTTTTACAATATATTTATTTCAGTAAGGGACCTGGAAAAGACGTGAAAGAAATGAATGAACTGCGTATTACATATTTGCGCTTATTGCGTTTATAATCGTTCACACAACTGAAAGTGCATCTCGGCGGATAGTAATTATCGTGGTTGTAGAATTAGACTCAACATAGTTGAAAATGGTACCTCACAAAAATCATGCGATAATCTCTTTTTGAAGACTCATATGGTATGAGAATTTTATCGACCTTGTAATTATTGACGTTACTCTGATAAAGAGAAATGCTATTTTTGATCAACTTCTATAGCTATTCATAAAAATTTCCCCACAACAACATGCAAATGAATATTTATATATTTTCGCATCTGAGATTTTTGATTGAACAGTCAGTCTTGATTTTGATCATGGCCAACATTAGATTTTTAATACACAAATGGTGCATACGCACGAATATTCTGCATTCTATCGTCATTCTCGCTTTTGTTGGTTTTGTCCTCAAGATCTTAACACTATTTGCATCTAAATTGTAAAATTTCTGCTTCGAATCAATTGTAATCATCGTTGGACTATGTACGCTCGTTATATTTGTCTGTTTCCAAACTTCATGCGCGCTCTGTTTCTACCTCGATGAAGACAAAAGTACGTTGTGTCGGCAACTTACTAGTGTTAGGATTCAACTAAACTGTTTTCAAATCGGAAACTTCGCTATTCTCAAAACTATTGAAATATTTCTTTTTCAAGGTTATACTTTTTACTGATTGTTTCTAATGTTTTGTTTCATTTAATTTAAGTTTTGCTTTGCAATGTGATGAAACTACGCAATAAGTACTCAAAGAAAAGTATGCGCCTATAACAATCTGAAAAGAAAGGATGAATTAATCTATTCTCCTACAAGAATAAAATGTTCATCTTTCGCGGGTGTTGATCCTAGGACGAAAATGGTTTTCGTCAATCAGAAATTTAATACGAGTAGATCATTATATGTGGAAATGATTTAGATCAAATGTAGAATTGAACATACTTTAACGCAAAAATGAGCAGAATCTATTGTGATGTCATGGCTCCTAATAAAAGAAGAGAACCTTATAAAATAAGTATGTGTAAATCGAATTTCTAAGATATTTCTTAACATCTTACCAATAGAGCACATAAAACTACCACTAATATCTAAGCATATCGGCTAAAAAAGAGCACAGCATAGATAAAATTGCCACCGAGAAAACATTTATAGCACATGATGTAAAAGAGTTCTTTTATTTGAAGCAGAAGAAGGCAAAAAAAATTAAATGCACCCATAGCGCAAAGCACTGCATCTGAGCGGCTGCATATGTACGCTGCATCCTGAGTTGACATTGAAAGTTTTAGAATGAAAAAAAACATACTGTTCTTTAACGAAAAAAATCGTTGCTATGAAAATTTTACTATTGCATAAAAAAAATACACGACTGCGGTTGTTTATATAGCTGTAGCAACAGTAGAATGAAGAGGATCGATCAATTTCATGCTTACTATTATTCGACTGGGTATATATAGAAAATTCTTTGCATTAGTTCATATTCCAAAAAGAATTTAATAATCTGCTACTATTTCGGTTTTACAAGGCAAAAACTACTGATTGAGCTCAACTGAAATTTAAAAATAGATCATTTTAAATGAATGGTTTGTTTTTGAAAACGAATTAGTTTCTTCTCAAGATGCAATCGAACTTAATATTTTTATTCAATTACCATTTAGGATTTTGCTAATTTCTTCAACTGGCGTAAAGAAAAAGGCACGCTATTATACCTTTGCTGAATATTCTTTTTGCATCTTAGAACATAGGATATATTTCTTCTTACTGTTAAATTCAGGTAGAAAAAAGAATGTGATCTGGTTAAAGCGGACAGATACTGACGAATAGTTTTTCTCTCGCGCTCGCTCAGATTGAAATGAAACAAAGAGAAAGAAAATTATTGGAAATACTTTTGTTGTTCGGTAGATCGATTCTTTTCATCTGATAATTGCTTGACTGTAAATAGGAACGGTGTGAGAAAGCCAGAAGATGATGGCGCTTTTTCAAAAATGAGAGAACAGTGGAAATAAACGTAAAAATATCTGGAAGCTCTCGAAATCAGGAAAAAAGACGTAATGTCAAATTTTTGCTGCATTCAAAAAATCGCAAACGATGATCGATTTCTGTTGATTTTTATAAAATAATTAGACATTTAGATGATTCTAAAAAGTCTCACAGTAGTATTAACTCTTTGTTGGACTGAGAAAACAATAGGACACAAAATATAGAAATCATGATTTTCACTCATTTTGCGTGAAACAAAAATGAAGCAAAAGACTGCCTTGTGATGAGAGGCTATCAATTTTGACCCTTTTCTCCTTTTATTGATAAAAGCTAACATTTCCATTGATGATATAAAAACTCTTTAGTTTTTGATCTAAATCAAGATATTATTTCGATAAAAAGATTCCTTGTCATGGATTAAGCTGCAAAGCCAGAAATATCACTTACTGTTCATTATTTTAATTAGGCTTAAAAACATTTTCAAGACACTACAGTATAGTGTGGGATATTAAACCTGGTATCTTAGTTTTCAGTTCCGCCTAGTGATAAGAAACCAAGAAGGAAGCAACTCATTGAAATCATCCCTAAATCAGTCAAAAGTCATCATAAATTAGTTGATTTTTTGTGGATTTAGACGAGTTCAACTGACTATTTCTGATTTTTAGCTATGTTGAATAATTTCTACTTATTTCAGACGACTTTTCATTTCGTCAAGCTCACTCTAACTCTATCAAATGCATAAATCGCTGTTTCCTCTTGTTAGAAATTATTTCGAGCTCAGTTCATAAAATCTCTTTTTGATCTCTTTGTGCCACCGAAGATGACGAGGGCTTGTGACCATTGTGCTAATCAATTTTAATTATAACCAGAATCAATAGTCCACTACTCTACTACTGCGAAATTTTTAGGATATTTGAGATTTAAGTCACAAAGTCAGTTGTGCCTTCGAGTGAATATTTTTTTCAGCCTTTTTACTGCTTTCGATCATCAATAAAAGCAGTTAAGTTGCGCTTCACTGTGTGAGAGTTTAAGCTTACAGTAAGGAACTGTATTGTTAAAAAAATTCAAAATTTTCTGAAGAATTCTCGATTTGACACATGTAATGATCAACTTTGAATAATTTATTTTGCTGACTCATTGAAAAGGTAGTTGAAATAGTTAACAATTGAAGAAAATTATAATCAAACTCTTTCAAGGTTAGCTAGAAGTGTCACACATCCTTACAGTTTCGAGAAGGAGTAGCTTCAATCATTGATCGAAAACAAGAGACTTGTCAAGTGAAAATCTCTGAACGAGAGAAAAATGAATTCACTATGACTTTCCTCAGAAAAAAAAGACAATGCATCAAAACTGTTCACGAAAATGAAAGCTAGTTCAACACATTGTCTCCTCAAATTAGAACAAGTCGTAACTGAAAAGTATTAGATTTGGAGAAAGTTAAGATTAATTTCTTTCAAATTACGGGAACATAAGAGCTAAGTTATCACAGATTCGAAAAAAACTTGTAATTAAAACTTTTCAAAGTAAGATGTAGCGCCGTCTCAATCACTCGTGGTGCTCCTGGCTATAACGTATCGTTTATTCAGATAGAATTGCGACTTCACACTATTCATTATGCCTGAATACATACATGCCAATTCTTTTACGCTTCCAGTGGATTGATTTAATTAAGAAATATGTAGAGGAATTAAGATTGCAATATGTACGTATATATATATATATTCTCAATAAAAAACAGTCGCTATTTTTTTTTTTCTGTTGTAACTCAATGGTTCAGTGATGAGGTGTCAATCAATGACCTCTTTCCAGTAGGTACAAATTCTGTAGAATTGAATTCTTTTGTTGTACAAAAGATGAAAATAGTAATAAATCCTTGATTTCATCTACGAGAGAGAATGATTTACATTATTTTAAAGATGAAGCGCGCAACTTGTAGTTTTGTCCGTTGATCGTTTCACTGAATTCTTGTCTATATTGAAACCAGCACTTTCAGTTTACCGATATTAGCCATCTTAATTATATTTATAGCAAAATAAAGTTATAGTTCATAGTTTATTGATGACTCATCAAATTTGCTTCAATACTGGCTCAACCACTTCGATTATACATCTCGATCCGACCAACCATTTAGAATTTTGTGAAGAGTGCCGAAATTTATTCAGCGTTATTTTTAGCGTCTATGAAAATATATATAAGAGTAAGAAGATTCAAATAAAATGATTGTATTTTTTCACACGTGTATTCTGCTCAAGTGATAAATATCATTGAGGCTCCTACTTGAGCCTTCTCAGTGATAATCCATCGTTGTGTGGTGAGTTGCCATTTGATTTATGAGGCGATGCCTGTGTTAAATATTTTATGCGGTCACTTCTTCTACCAGAAAATAGATGCTTTGAAGAAACTGGATATCCGCTAGTACAAATTCAAATAAAAAGTGAATAATTGTGAAAAAAAGTGAATAGAACCCTGTGAATGCGTATCAGGTCGTTAGGAGTTGCTTGATAATTTTATAGGGCCTACATAAAAAAAAACAGTCCTCGGAGATTGCTGGAAGAAATTTGACTGTAGGGTGTCTATTCAATTTCTGTAAATGAGCAAATCAAAATATTCATTTACATGACATGAGTCGAGCATTCGAGAAGGATGTTACACAGATGCAGTTCAAGTTTGTTTCATATGATTTATTTGAAACGCATCAACATGTAAAAAACATTGAAAATTATCACCGATAACTGCAACTATAGCAGAAAGAACAAAAAAATTAATTACTCATTACATATGAAAAAATATATTTGATTGTAATGAAAATTTATTAAACTATTTAGTATCCAAATCACTGTCCAAAAATGATGAAAGAATTTAATTCTGATAAAGGAAGAGCAAAAATATGAATACTATAAAATTGTTTCAAACTCGTAAGCAACATATTCATATGAAAACAAAGTCATTGTCTTTGCAGTTGGCTGTGGTAATTTTGAAGGAAAAGGCCTATTACCATATTTCACTTCAACCAGTTCGATTATTAATCATTTCGAACCTAATAAATGATAATCATTTGCAATTAAGCCCAAGATCTATTCAAGGTGGATATTTCATATTTGAATAATCTAAATACCTTTTATCATGGGTGGCATCGTTCGAATGCTCTTGATAATCATCAGCATGGCAAATAGTACAAGTGAATAATCCAATTTAATGTTATCTCTTATCAATTTAATCTTGAAAATATGTAAGTTATTATTACGATGCCAATCTGTTGATGCAGAAATTTCTATAGTGAGTAAAAACGATCCAACATGAACATAAATAAATCCGAAAAAAAACATGCAATAGAATAACAATGAATATTAATCTACTGATATTATTGTTTAGACTCGAAAGGAATAATCTACCTTACATGACACATCGGCTTGTTCTTTTACATAGTCTAATCATCGTAAGTTGTATTTTTTTGAAGTGCGTGCGCATAGTTTCTCCTTGAAAGGAGATAAAACGTCGCAATAAAATTACATAGGAGGCCCTATGACACTAAAGAAGCGCTGACATCATAGAAAAAATATATGCTTTTTTTTCATACAAAGAAAACAACACCCCGTTTGTTTTCATATGAAATACAGTTCGAGTTGAATAAGAAAAACATACACAATCACTCATCATTCTTATTACATATTTTTTCAATTTGTATGCTTCTTATTTAAAGGCATACATTGACTTTTATTATATAGAAGAAAGAAAAGTCCCAGTGACTATAATGAACAAGAGCGAAGGAAATAGCACATATAGAGCAGCTGTGTACATTAGTTGTATATGCTCAAAACTTTGCTTCATTCATTATGAAGAAAAAAAACGCGATTGACTGCTTTGTTCGCAACCAAATTGGCGACGGCGAAAGAGGAACATTGAAAAAAGTCTTTTTTTTTCTTCTTTCTGTCGTAAAACTAAAGAACAGGACAGAAGTAGAAGAAGTAATTCTAAGTTAAAAAATACCTTTCTTGTTTCTCTCGACAGTACTTTTTTTTGCCATGCCTAAAAATAATACGAAGCAGCGAAAGATATGTCAACTGGCAAATATGGTTGGTTGATGTATAGAGAACAAGAAAACGAAATAGTCATTATTCATCATGCTCAATATTTTATTTCTAAAGTTAATTATCTTCGGTATTATAATAGTCAACGGTGAAATCAAAACTGAATCAGTACAATACGAAAGTGTTTTTAATAAACCACAATTCTATAACCAACAACGAAAACAAGTACAACAAAATGCTGGTCAAAAATGGTACTACACATCCAATCAACAACCATCGGCTTATTCATGGTATTGGACCAATAATGATGCACCCTCAAAACATTTCTATAAAAGCACTTTACCAAATCATCAAGCTGATCAACTGTCGCATTGGGCGTGCGGAAGAAGTCAAGTAACAAATCGATTCGGACGTATTATGGGCGGACAAGATGCTGCACCTCATTCATATCCATGGATGGTTTCGTTAGCGAAAAGGTCACTCAATAATTTGCATTTATGTGGAGGAGTTCTATTAACACGACGTCACGTTTTAACTGCTGCACATTGTATAGAAGATTTTGAAGGCATTGGCGATATGAATATACTAACCGGAATTCATTATATAACTGAGAAGAGAAAACCAATATCTGCATTATCAATTGATATACATCCTCAATATGATGCCGACACATTTGCTAATGATGTTGCAATAATAACTTTAGCTTCGATATTACCTGAAAATGATCCACGTATAGGCACAATTTGTTTACCGCCGGATGACGGTATAGGAAAAACTTATCCGTCTCCAGAATCGTCTGCTATTGCAATCGGTTGGGGTTCAACGTCATTTGGTGGTCGTCCATCTACATCACTAAGACAAGTTGTTTTACCTATTCTTGAAACAACAAAATGGCCGTGCAACATATATGTGACCTATTCTCAAGGACAAATCTGTGCGGGACAACTCAGTGGCGGCATTGATACATGTCAAGCGGATTCAGGTTATTGATTTAATGAATAGTCATTTCAATACTTGACTTTTTGCTTTGTTTCAGGCGGACCATTAATGGTAGAAAATGCAGATAGCCGCTGGGAAATAATAGGTATTACATCATTTGGTAAATCATGGTAGGATTTATATATATATATGTATAACAAAAGATTAATACTTTTATTGTCCTATTCTTTTGCTAGTGGTAATGCAAATACACCTGGAATTTATACTCGTGTAGGCACTTACAATAATTTCATACGCTCAATAATAAATCTCTCAAGAAGCAGACATTATTATTCCTCCACGGTGGGACTAAATGCAAATGTTGCTATTCTCAGTATTTTTTTGCTGATACCTTTTTTAGTGTGAAACATTATGTGTCTGTTTTTTTTGTACTATGCTTCTCTCCCTTTTTTTTTGTTTCTATGTTCGTTTGAATAGATCAAGGTTTTGATACATAAATGTATATATTCCAATCGTTCGCTTTTTCATCATCATCATCAGCAGCAGCATCGCATGGGCATGTTAGATTGATTGTATACGCGATTCGCTTACTAACGAATGTGATTGAATAGAATATCATCATATAGAACACGATCAAGAATTTTTACGGTCTTTACATATATATTTAATGTGAATATGAAAATGAAACAGAATCAAATGGAAATTAATAAAAAAAAGAGAAAAAGTAGTTTATATATATATATGTATATTGATCAAGTAGCCAACCCAAAAGCAGCGTGCTGTAAAAAAAGAGAAATAGAAAAATGCACAAAAAGAAAAATATAGGATACCTCTTTGACATTGACTATGGGATCAAGACCAGAATCGATTTTTGGTCGTCCATACCATTGGGTCTTTTCATTAACAATCTATTTTAAAAAAAATCAGCAATAGATTTCTTTCCTCGGAATAAACCGTGTTAGATTTATTGAAATGCCTGTTTTTATCTTTATTCATATCGATTTATTTTCCATTTTGATGAAACTCAATTAATCCTATGAAATAACCCTCACAGTCAGTGGTACATTATATAGGAAGAATCGGAAGAGCAGATTTCTGCTATGGTGTCATTCATTAAATTTTATAGAAAAATATTTACCACTGGTTTCGGACGATATTCGTCATTTGGATTATAATCATTATTGTAGGTGGTGATTTTTGCTTGTGATTTCCATCGAGGAAATTCATCAGTGATCTGAAAAAATTATAAATAAAGAAATGCTTTTTTTCTAAATACGATTCTCACTGTTGGCCGTTTTTGGTCTTTGATATTTTCTAGGTACTCTGGATTGTGAGCTTTTATTCGTGGTGTTTGCGCGCTCCAGTTAACTTTTTCTCGAAAAATCTTTTAAAGAAACAACTTAGATTAATCATACAGCTGTAAAAATAAACTCTATGTGATTTCATACGACAGGTATGGATCGTTTTTGTCGAAGACGTTCAATATAATCATCATTTCTTCGACTAATGCGAGATTCTTTTCTCCATTCAAGTTTTCGAGTTTCAATTGGCTAAGAAAAAAGAAACTTCAAATTTTAACAACTTATTTAAGGAAAATTGTTTTTCTTACAGGAAGTTTATTCAATTTTGTTGTTTTTTTATGTTCAATATATTCAGAATTGTAATCATCGATACGGGGACCATCTGCTTTTATTTTGTGTTGCGGCGAAGAACTCTAAATGAAAAACATTTAAATAAAAATCAACTCTGAAAACTATTTCTGATTACTTGAATACGCATAAAGCTTGTTTGCTGCCGAATGGCTCGTTCACGTTGAAGGTATTGAACAAATTCTGGATTATAATGATTAGTTCGTGGAGTGCTTGACCAAGTTGGTTTTTCATCGTAGATCTTTTTTGAGAAAATCAATATAGATCGATATTGTTAAGATAAAATCTTACAGCTGATCTTGGTGTTTTTCGAAGATATTCAATAGCTTCTTCATTATGCGTATCTATCTTTGTGTTGGCCTCCCAATTTAATTTTTCATCACGAATCTTTAAAGAAAAAAAGAAACGAAACAATTACTACATAAATTAACTTGTGAAACACGATGTAAATTTTTAGATCGGTTGCCTATTTCTTCGACAAGAAGGTCAAATCTTTGTTATTTTTGTTTGTTGAATAGGGCTAAGTAACACTGAAATTTTGCCATAGCAAATATTTTTCTGATGGATTTCTGTTTTGTGCAATTCACTAAAGTGACTCTAAGAAAAGAATGTAAGTGAATTTGAAAATTTGTTTTCGAGTCACAAGTGCGCGTAGATATTACTTTTATTTTCTAGCCACTCGTAAGTCCTAATCTTCTGTACTAACAGAGGTGACATGTCTCTGACTGGAATCGTATCGAAAATGTTTTTTAGTGGAGTCAGTGATGAGAACGTGATAAAATTTTCGTCCTTAAACTACAGCACGCTAGTTAAAATTCGTGTTTCAGTAGAAAATAAATCAAATTACTCGAGGTTTTGGTGTACGATGAATATGTTCTACAGCTTCTTCATTGTGTGAATCGATTTTTGTTTCAGCATTCCAATATATTTTTCGTACAAATATCTGTTTATTTTAGAAATATACAATAGATCCTAGCACAGAAAATACTCTACTTGAGATTTTGGTCGTTGACGAATTTCCTCAACTGCTTCTTCATTATGTGTATTGATTTTCGATTCAGCACACCACGATAATTTTTGACCGAATATTTTTGTTTTCGGTGCTCGCCGAATTTTTCTTATGGCTTCATCATTACGTGATTTAATCTTTGGTTCTGCAAACCAATCCACTTTTTCTTGAAAAATCTACATTGGAATAAATTACAATGAATTGAATAGAAAAATACATAATTTAATACTTTAAATGTTGATTTTTGTGGCGTATAACGAACTCGACGTCGTTGAGGTTGCTCAGTCTTATTGAATAATAATCAACATAAAATTATTTTATACGAATTTTTTATTTACTTCGGGATTCGGATTTTGAGTTACTTTTTTCAATGGCGTAGATGTTGGTATTGGTTCACTTTGCTTTGGAGGGGAAGATTTGACATGCTTTTTAGTGCGAATCGGAACAATAGGTTGTTCAGCGATATCATAATCTAATACATTACCGTTAATATCTGTTAGAACCATAACAACTCGCTAAAGAAAATTCAAAAGAAAGTTCAATGTCGAAATCCGTGTTTATTTCTATTGTTGAATACTTCAGTGCTTTGATTTTGCAGCATGATCGTCGTCGCTTTACAAATACAACAAACTTAAACTAAACGAAATGTTTAAATTTTTCAAGTAACAATAAGGAGCGACACGCGGCTGAATGAAATGCGAGAAGAACAAAACAAAACAAATAATTTCATTTTCACTATTACAAACGCCGTGAATTTCTAAAAGAACTGAGAGACGCACAAAAAAATGCCAAGATGAAACAAAGTGAACTATTCGCACAAGAAGATTTACAAGCAAAATAAGAGAAAGATAATCGTTTGTTTTTCGGCTTCGCTTAGATTGTAAACATTTTATTTTGAATGTTTCAAATTAACCTTAGGATAGAATCACTAATTATTCAACCTTGAGAAAGTATTACGAGGAAAAAAAATGAACGCCTAGCAACCCTTCTTATTTCATATATCTTTTCATGCAACGATGCCCGCGTAAAAGCAACAAGACATCTATCTTGAATGTTACAAAATCGATTTTACAATAGAATTCTGTATCGCTGAAATTCAGAAAAAAAATCGAAAATATTCATTTCTGAATTAATCAATGAAGTCCACGTTGTTCTTCCCTATGCAGCCAAATGAATTCGAATGATTACCATTCAAAGATAAATTTATTCAAGCATTTAAACTGTCGAATAAAATCGGATCTATTTATTCATCGTCATGATTTAATATATTTACAAAAATCAAACTGTATGCTTTTCTTTCGTATTGTAAATTCCAAAATATTTCAATATTGATTTTTGTAGAGCTGATCTATCATTCATTTGTTAATAGCCAACAAAATGAATAACTTGCTTTTTTCTTTAGCAGTAGCAACACTCATGATTTCAACTACACAAGGTCTGTTCAACGAAAAGCATTGTTTTATTATTTGTCGAATTCTTTTGGAATTTAGCTCTCGCTTGTTACCAACATTATGAACCGTGCCTACACACGGCATCGTGCCTTACTGATGAGAATCGGCATAATTGTTCGAATGCAGGAGAGACATACTGCTTTGTAAGTTGAATAGGCGGTGAATGTATCGAATAGAATTTTGATTTATTTAGAAAGATGATGTGATTTTGGGTCTAGCAGTTCGAGGCTGTGGTAAGTTTTATTGTTATAAAAGGCATCGATTGAAATATAATCAATGAATTTATGTAGCTGAACTTGCATACTGCAATGCAACAATAGTTTTGGGCAGCCGTTATTGTTGTAACACAGATTATTGCAATCATGCCGGACGAGAAATACAAATAGCTTGGCCTATGATTATAGCTATGCTTACGGCAATCGTCGTTATAATTCGATGACGAAAGAAATAAACTGAGCTTTTTTTCTCTGATTCATACGTTTATCTGTGTCGAAAAAATAAAAAAAAACAAGATTTTATTTGATGTTTTCGTTATAAGCCATGATGACTTGAAGATAATGAAGAGAAAACTATTGATGTTCGTTTTATGAGCCTATGCTTTTGTTTTCAGTCATTTTAATATCGTATTGTAAAACTCTTGATGCATGCGCTGAATTCTTAGACGATTTCTGTAATAGCTTGTAACCAAGCGGATTCGCATTGGATTGCATGATGATTTTCAATAGAATGAAGCTCTTCATAGCAAATAAGGACGATTACTGTAATAGAATATCAAGTATGTACAAAAAGAACGTTTATTAGTGTTCTAAATTAATACGCAATAAAATGTTTAGTATTTTAGAAGAAGTGATTATATAATTTGTTAAATTTTGATAAAGTAGAAAAGGCAAAATAATGTTCATATTTTAAAACAATCGATTTGTGAACATGACGAGTGTACTTAAGATAATAAACACAACGAGAGGTTGCTGTTGTACCACAGATACGCCATTGCAAGAGTCACGTGTATTACAGCAGCACGTGGTCGTAGTAATGCCACTTACAGTTTCTTCAAAGCAACCGTTAACACCTCCGAGACAGCCAAAAGTATTACTAGTGAGTGTAAATTGCCTATCCACTTTAACTCCACCTTTTGTCTCACGTTTTGTTTTCTAGATTGAAAAAGAGGCCACATAAGTTGCCAACAATATTTCAAGAGAAGAGATCTTTGATCAAAAACATACCATACACACTGTACCATTCGGAACATTTCCTAGATTTATTCCAGTGGAATTATTTGGAATGAATGGATCTCCGCATTGAGGTGTTGCATCACTTTTACACACATGACATATTAGTGTGCTGACCATATTGATCGACCCTATTAATATAGTTGAGCATCATAATAATTTGCTTTTTATCTACATTGTTCTTACCTAAAACCAATAGAATGAAAAATAACGATTGCATTACTATTTCGTCTATCCAAAGAAACTATACGTGATAGAGAAGTTTTTACCGAAATATGTTGCATTTTAAAATGTAATTCTCTTTATATAGACGTACGGCCGTAGTTCCTCTCTCTCTCTCTCTATGCTAAGGTAACTTTGATAAAGTCAAAACGATAACTGCGTCGTTGCTTTATTATCGCCCGTGTTTTGGATACAGTCTGTGTATGTTTACGAATGATAAATAGCTTTATAACCTTGACAACAATATTCTAACCAAGCAACGAGCTGGGGTTCCGGAATTTCGCCAATAAGACTTTCGCCAATAGGACTTTCGCCAACACATTCAGTGGAACTTCGCCATCGGCGAAAGTCTTATTGGCGAACATACCGCCACCCAACGATCTAAACAACTATATTTCTTCTTAAGGAAATCTTGTACAATTCTAAAAATCTATTCTAACCCAACAAACTATTTAGAGTTGGATTTTAAGTATTGCATACCGATTATAAAAAACTAACGCGTATATCGTTTTCCTATTTAATATTTTTGAAAATATCGATAGGCCAAAACGTAACTAATTATCTTCTTTATGCCGATTATATCATCTAAATTTCTTTTGTAGCTACCAGCTCATCATCATTGATCCCAATCTTGTGTTGTTGTTAAAATTACTTGAACGCCTGAATAAGAGCAAACAATAAATAATAAGCTCGCTCAGATTAGTAAGCAGATAAATTTATTCGCATTTGAATGAAGCGTAAGTAGTCAAACATACTTTACTGTTAACAATAAAAGTTTTATTTCATCTTCAATAATAGAAAAATACTTGCAATAAATCAGATTTTATGATGCAAGCAATTTAAAATAAACCTTGCCAAAGAGCAATAACAATTAAAACTAAAAAATAATTCAATATGGGTTTGGTTTTCATTGCATTTTTTCTCGCGTATCTTACTGTCGTTGCCGGCGAATAGATATAACCTTCAAAAGGAACATCAGGTATCTATTGATAAGCCAAGAAGACAATCGAACATTAACATAGTTTTCGAGATTTCAATTTTCTAAAGCGAAAGTTATTATAACGATTATCTATAAATCTTGTAGATTAAAAGATAGCTACAAAACAGCTTTTTTCTTAGTAAATAGAATTGCTTGTACTGACATGATTTTTCCGTTTTAGGAAACAAAAACTTGGCCATGCTTAGCCAAATCTTATTTTGTTATTGAACGAAACCATTTAGATTCACTACTTTCGTTATAGCTATTATATTTATTTCATGTAAAACTCGCAGTGAGTTTAACCGGTAATATGATTTTTCTAGATTGTTTCTCATTTTCTCCGATTCTGATGATGTTGAACGAGTTCGAAGCCAAAAAAACAAAAAAAACTATTGTTTTTAAGAACAAAAATTGAATTTATCTAAGAAAATCATAGAGACGTGGGTAGTATAATAGTTGATGATCAGCTGAAATTTGATAGGAAACAAACGTGTAGAAAATGAAAATTGCCTAGTTGTTCACAAATAATTCTCTTATTAATACTGATTCGTAGGTCAATAAGACCTCTTTATAGAAATAATTTCTTTCGTCTCCCTCATCTCACTATTAACAACAAGCTTTACAACATCAACAGAAGACTCAATAACCTACGATGCTAGTGTTGTGAAAAATCACGAAAATGGCCTGCGCTTCGTCTTCAACCTAGATAATCACAACCACATCTGTGGTAGTCCTACTAATTATATAAGAATGAGCCGTGGCAGTTCAACATTCTGTTTAATAAAAGGACTTCTTTTATTTTATTTATGGTTTCAAACTCGACTAAAAAATGTTTTTTTTTTAAAGAGAATATCAATGAATACTTTTGCTTTCCTGACAAAACTCCAACACATTGCATTTATGTACATATATATCAGCATTATAACTGCCGTGCTGATCGAGAATAAGCAATCACTTTTACTCATTATTCTCAATTTTTATTTTGCACTATCCGCTTTTTTTCAATACAATGACTGTAGTTAGAAGATACCAAGAAGAAAAAGTACTTGAAATAAATCGACTTGGCATTCATGTTCTCACTCAAATCCAATCCGTTTGATTTTGACGGATATATATTGATTGTATATCAATGCACAATAGGGATAATCTATTTTATATAAACATTGATTTGACTCAAGAACTAGGAAGTCAACTTCGTGATAAATACCTATTTACTTCAATCGGAATCAACCAGAGGGGTTTGTATGCATAGAAAATCGTGTATGTCGGCGAAAGATACTAAATAACATAATAAGGGAGAAATCCATTTAACAAATATATGCATATAATGAGCGTATCTCACAGGGAGATGTCGCATTTTCGAGCGTCCAATGTAATTTTTAAAAGAAAATCGCATTCAACAAGTTCGCACTCTCTAACAATGATGCTTGACCTTGAAATGTATCTATCTTTTCAATTATTAAGAGTTTATGATAAAAGTTCAAAATGAAATAAACCAATCTGCACTAATTTTCATCTGTTGTGAGTCAAAAGCTATTGGCATTGCACAAAAGAAATAGTAGCACGACACTGATAGCTCAATAGCACATTGGTAAAGAAGGTTGCAAATGATGCAATGCTTAAAATTCGCCGAACAGAATAATCATAACAATTTCAAATCCATCAGCCATTACGAGCAAGTGACTTTACTCAATGATTGAACTGAATCAAATTATTAATTCAGCTGTTGAGCTTCTTTTTTTTCTTTACATCGTTAACTTACTGCCAACAAAAAACACTACAAGCACGAAAAATTAAAAGAACAACATATGAGAGAGTTATTCATATGTGTATTATCGTGTTGACCAAATTAAAATAAATATTCTTTCAACAAAAGTGCATAATCGTCAGTCTACTACGATGCAGAAGAGTGATTATTCGAAACGACAACTTCATCACAGGGTAACTGAAGAACTTGTTGAAGGAACGAAAGAAATATATATTCAGTCCAGCAAGTATATTCGCACTGATATCATCTTACTCACAATTAACATCATACGGTTTCATTTTGATGAATAAAAGAACGTGAAAAAAAACCAAGGAGACACAAAACACAATCCAATCCTTAAGTAAAGAACACAATTCCACATCGTGCTTATCGGATGTTGTGTGGCAAACATCTTATCAGCAAGTGAGTTTCACATTGCCATTAGCGTTGATATCATCATCACATTCTACATGGATATTGCGTTGAAAATCGCAGAAGTTGCCTGGCAAATTAAATTACTCGTCGACAAAGTTCGAGCAAACAATAAACGATGTCAACGTTTGAATGATCGAATTTCGGTTCTCGTTCCATTGATTCAACAGCTGCATGGAAAGAAAACATTGACAACTAAATTTACGGCAGCATTAGAGCGATTACTCGACTGCGTTGAACGTTGTTATGCATTTATAAATAAATTTACTGAAAGTAATTGGTTTGTACGAGTCTACGATCAAGCATGTCACCGGAATACATTTGATGAGCTCAATGAAACTCTTTATTCTTGTGCCGGAGATTTAAATTTAGCTTTATCCGTGCAAAATCATTTCAAAGGCACACAGGACGATCGTGATCGACGTGATGATCGAGATTTTTTGTCGAAAAACTTCGACGAAATCATTCGTTTACAAAGTAAATATTCACAGCAACATCAAAAGCAATTAGTTAATATTGAACGCATGTGTCAATCATTGATCGATAATAACAAACAGAATCTCGAGGCAATGATGGATGATTATAAACGGCAAGCAATGTATGAAGAGGAAAAACTTTTCGTTCATGTGCAATACAGTCAAGTTATACTCGAACAATTGATCGCAACTGCCAGTTCGGGTAATGTTTACAAGGGACGATGGAGCAATTCAAAAGTAGTCGTGAAAGAACTGAAGATATCGGCTATGAAAGGGCAAGAACGACAAGAATTCGTCAAAGCAGTAACTATGCTCACACGTATTCGACATGAAAATATTGTGCAACATCTTGGTGCGTGCATTGAAGAACCCGATCGTTATCTTGTGATTAGTGAACTGTTGCCGTTGGGATCCTTGAACGGTATTTTACGTAATAAAGTATTAGAATTCACTTGGCCAGATCGCTGGTCAATCGCCAAACAGATCACTAGTGCTATTCTCTATCTTCATACGTATTGTTCACCGCCGCTCATTCATAAAGATATTAAATCGTCGAATATTCTTCTGGATTATTATGGAGGTGATCGTCGAAAATATCGGGCAAAAGTAAATGATTTTGGATTAGATCAAATTCATGGTAGCGTTGGTACTCTAGCTTGGTCTGCACCAGAAACTCTTCGAACGATGAATCGACGTGTATTTAACGCAGCAAGTGATGTTTATAGTCTCGGTGTAGTCATGTGGGAATTGGCTACAGGCGAAGTGCCTTATGCTAACCAGTCATCTGAAGATATTATTCGATGTATTTGCAGTGGTCAACAACTATCGATTTCTTATGAACACATTTCGCGAATATATGCGAATATTCTATATCAAACATGGAATGAAGACACCGATGAACGTCTATCATGCGAGCAAGTGTACGTTCGTCTAGTCATCGGTGCTAAACGAGTTGATTCCCAAGAAGATTTGTGGCCTGATACTATAAAAGCATCCAGCATTCGTCTCGATCCGCCCAATGTTTTAGATCATCTTTTGACATTGAAATATCAATCAGCTCAACCAATCGAACAGCGCAATATCGAAGCAGTCAACAAAGCTGCCCATGAATTATTACAGTTGAAGAATAGAAATCCGAAACCGATTCCGGCAATGTCTGTTGAACATTTGATAAACATAGGTGAATCATTCTTGGAAACGAAGACTGGCGATAACTCTTATATCAGTGCAGCTTGCCAATTAATTGGTCTTTTTACTCAAAACTCTTCCATGAACTCAATTATTGTTGAACAAGGTGGAGTTTCGTTTCTGCTTCAAGTAATTCAAACATTTGCTGATAAAGACCGAACGATCGTAAAACAAGCAGGTGAGGCTCTCGGTAGATTAAATACTGACGTTCCAGACGATTCGCTCACGAACAATCAAACTCCTGGTCGACCTGAAACTGATAAAAAACTTAAAAAAAAATCATCTTCAGCTGTGACAAGCAATTATGACAACGATCCAACGCTTGCCTTACGACAAGTAACGAATCGAGTTCAATCAGAAGGTTATGCGGATCAAAAAGTGCGGACGATGATCGACGAACTACCTGAAAACACTCCAGATGAAACTGATGAGAAAGTATCGCATAAGAAAAACTCCAAGCATGCTTCTACAGAGAAAAAGTGGCGCGTTGCACATATTTTTAGTAACAAACATTCTACACAGAAGAAATAAATTACTAATGATTTTAGCCTTTTCTAGCATTGTTTAGATTTAAATATTTTGGGATGTCTGTTCATGTCTCCTATACTGTCACTCACACCCTTTTCTTGTTTTTTATGTTACTGAAAAACACAAGCACGATATTACAGCTTCCTTCATCTTTTCGATTTTAATCGTTTCTTTAGGAAATAGACAAGAACACACTATCAACGAGAAGGACAAAAAAGAGCATAATAAGTAAATATCTTCTTCTTCAACAAAACGATCGAACAAGATATCACCCTTGGCAATCAGCAAGCTAGCAGATGACTCCTTTTTACGCTTGTTGAGGGCCAACGACCAAATTGGAAATAAGGCTCATTATCTTTTGTTACTAAATTCCTATAGGCCATTTTGAATTGATTCCTTATCAGGCAGTTATAATAGTGGGTCACTATCAATTCATGATAATCGACCAGTGCTCTGAATGGGAAGGGACGAATCTTTTGTCGCGCGGAATTTTCTATTGAAATCTAGTTCGAGATACTTTATAGAAATAATGAAAGATACACTTCATTATGTTCTTATATTTGATATTTTCTTTTAACACGAATTAGTTTACTCGTCACTTCCTTGTAATATTTTTCATGAAAAACGTTTTAATTTATTTTACAGAGAATTGGCGAATGAACTATGGCATAGCTTGATGTTATTAATTGTATAGCATCAAAACAAAAAGACTGTTTTCACGCATAAAGCATTTCATTTTATTTGGAAAAAAAATTATCTTCGATCTGTCTAGATTGTTTTCAAATTCTTAAGCTCGTTTTCGGCATAATTACTATGTGCAATATTGACATTTTTTTGAATATCCACCAACTCTTTCCACTTTATTTTCCGGGACTAACAGACACATCATATTCGGTGTCTGATAGTTCCGGAAAATATCACGTTTTTATATAAATCTGAAATACAACGAGGCTTGTATCAAGTTAATCAAATGAGAATAATGAATTGAAAAACCACATCTACTAGTGATAATCAACACGAGATCAGCACCGATGAAGCGTATTAAAAGCGATTCTAACGTGAATCTTTTACTTTTCAGATTGATTACTGCAGACATAATAATTAGAAATCGAGTTTTATGAAATTGAAAAAATTTTGTTTTTCGCCACTTTTGTATGACAAGGATAATGAAACGTTCATCTCAACGTACGTTTTAATGCTAAATGCTAGTGTTCAAAGACAGCAATGCAAATAAAACAGTAGATATACCCAATACTATGCATAAGCAAGCGACCAATATAATATAATAGAATATATCCTCAAACATCCTCTTCTTTTTCTTTCCAATAGCCTGTTTTTATGCAATGGATAATAGCAATTATCTGTATGAATTTCTGATACTATTTTTTCCAATAATTTTAGTTCCCATTATTATGTTGGTAAGGGCGTAACCAGAGGGNGCTTAAGGATTCACATTTTTTAGTTTTATTTTAGATGTAGGATTCACTATTGCTGGTATATTTTTCGAAATTTGTTGAGATGTATATTAGGTATAAATTCGGTTTTTTATTTCAACTAGTTTTTCTTCTATGGAATGAAAAACGCCGCTTCGCTCGGCACTACGTCGCTTTGCTCGGCACTACGGCGCTTCGCTCGGTGCTAACAAAAATCTAGAAACTAATTTTCAAAAAAATTCGCTTTTTCTCAGAGTTTAATGAATTTGTATAAAATTGTCCCGAAAGTCCGGAGAATTTTCAGACCGAGCCGGAACTCCTTTCGGACTTTCGGACCGGGCCGAAAATTCTGTTGGCCGAAATTTCGGTCTCCCAGATTTTCAAAGATGCGAGAAAAATAAAAATTCATTGCTTGTTGCTCATTTTCCCTAGTGCCAAAAAGTAGACTGAGTTCTAGTGATAAAGCCCTAATCCATCGTCGCTCGACAAGTGTCATATAAGACGAATGAATGAATGATTTAAGGGTATCATTCACTCTTTTTTGTACAGCTATATGGCGAACTTTATAAAAACAATGGCATATAGATATCAATCAGGCACTTCCTCTGAACCATGTGTTCCTACGACTGTAAATGGTATTTTGGCTAGGAAAAGATTGGACTAAAACTAAATTTCTTTGTCGTGAAAACATATGAACTTTGAGATGTCTAATCAGTTACCCACTCTAAAGTGTACCTCTCATGCGACTTGTTATAAACCATAAAAGATGAAAGAAGCTATGCAGAATCAGAATTGCATTAAACCACATCGTTTCTAATGCACTAGTATTTCGCATAAGTTTTGTAAGTACATGTAAACTTCTGTATGTCGTTCAATTGTGCAGAGTAATAGTTTGAATTTACGTATAGTATTTGATATTAAGGATTTTAAAGATTTCTTAAATTTTCAAAAGCACCGCTTTATACATTGATTGTAATTGCAAGCGAGTAATGTTTCTTCAATCGTCATATAGCTACTAATAATGAAATCGAAAATTTGCTTTCACATTAACAATCTTTGACCAGCCTCTTCGAATATTGGAGGGCTGGTACATCCACACCCCTCCACCCCCCACACACACAGTCGCGCCACCTGTGAATACAACATCGAAAATCACAAACGCCCGTGCATTTTTACCGCATTCGTGCTTAAACCCACACAATCATAATGACATATATATGCAATACCCTAAAACTGTGGTGTGTTCTGTAAGGCTTTATAATATATTTTCGCTGCTGGTATACTACTGGTTAGAGTGAGAGGTAATGTTTTATCATGTTGACAATCGTTGAAGTGCTCTTTTATAACGTGAGTCATTGAATACATAAGTAAAAAACAAATGATTTCGAAAATCGCTGAAAAACTTATTTTTGCTTTTTCTTTGATGAGATGTGCTTTATTTTTAGAGTATGTGCCTTTCGGTGAAAGAGCGCATTTATCAGTTGAGTTAATTTATATAGCCCTCATTTATTTTCATAAGCTATCTGTTAAGTGGTAGTAACGCGTGTTAAATTGCATCTAATCGTAGTAACTATTTGCCTTTTTTCTAGTGCAACAACGGCACAAATATCATATTACAATTGACGTCACTACCTTATTTGATGAGAATGAATCCCTCGTAATAATATATAAGGCTCTGCGCACGATGGTTTCGCAGTAGGTTATGGCTTCTCACGCACACCATTATAGAGGTTTTAAGAGGTACAGTTATTTTCAAGTTTTATTTAATGCTTTACTCGTGCGAATTTCAATATAGTCCTTCTAAACCGTTTGTTTCTGTCTTCAAGCTAGGTTACACGGAAGTGAATTTTATGCCTTACCGATTCTTCCGACTTTTTCGATAGTCCCAACAAACCATGACAGTGTTTAATATACTTATTCACTTCCTTATCATATGATTATGGCGAGTACCGTTCCAGCTACTTTGAAGAGTAAGCAAACACAAGTTTTTAACTATTTCCTAAAGCTTTACTAGGCATGTCACTAACCAATTAGTAGATAACGCATGGCTGTTTACGACCGTGTATACAGAGAAATATAGTCATAGATCGAGAAGAAAACAATAACCCCTTATGGTTCTTTTAGAAACCGAGTTCTTATACACACCCTGTTTTGCTTTTGTTGTAAGATTTAGAAATTTTTTTATTAAATTGCTATAAAACAGTTGTCAAAAAAGATGACATAGTCTAACAAAATAAAAACAACGCTTTTCAACATCAATGAGCGCACATCTTATGATCTATTTCTACCAACTGAGTATTTCACTGAAATATGCGTTGTTTGTAATTAGATTTTAGATTTTTTCGTTATGAGCTTCGAAAAAGAAGAACCCGTCCCGATTTTTGTCAAACCAGAAGATTTACATCTGTATAATTCAGTTAAATTCGTCGATGTTCGTAGCCCGACAGACTATGCCGAAGGCCACTTGAATAATGCTGTCAATATGTATGATATATTCACATACTTATTGCCTACATCGACAGAAGAGGGAATTCATAAGATGAATAATCACTTTCAAACACGGTTTGGTGAATTAGGCATAACTGGACAAGAACATATAATTATTTACGAACAAAGCATGAACAAACAGTATGGTGCATCGTGTCGAGGTTTCTTCATTTTCAAGCATATGAAGCATCCACATGTTTCAACACTCGAAGGTGGTTTAGATGCAATGATTCGTTTTGAAGGTAGTACGCAAACAATAACAAAGGAGACACCAGTAATCATACCATGTCAATACCATGGAAACGATGATGATACGTTCGATTCTTGGATGGCTAGTCGTGATGACATTTTGCAAGTACTGAGTAACAGACTAGTTGGAACATGGCTTGTAGATGTACGAGATGCAGTAGAATGGCTTGGCCTGTCGTCAAGTCCATATGGTGTTGACTTCACACCTCGAAGAGGAAGAATACCTCGATCAGTGTGGATTGAATGGCATAAATTTCATAAATTGGACAACGAGAAACATGTAGCTAAATCGAAATCAAATGAACAGATTCAAGCCCTGATGACAACATACGGTATTCAAAGCGACGATGAAATCATTATATACTGCTTTAAAGGGTCAAGAGCAGCCGTAGCATTGATGAAGCTGAAAGAAGCTGGCTATAGTAATGTGAAAAATTACTTTGCATCATGGAATGAATGGTCTCGTGACTTTCAACTACCAGTAGACGATAGAATACTTGTTGGCAACAAAAAATAATCTATTAGAAGAACAATGTATGTTTTAAAAGTTGGCTTCGTAAACATTAAAAATTTGCGGTTCCTTTAGAATACAAATATAGATATAGAACACTAAAAAGTGTTAACACCTTAGCCTTTTCTTTAATTTTCATCAATAAATTATATCTGTTGTTCTTCAAAAGTGCATTATGTATCGGACTAGCTTATGCGTTATCAGCATTCAACAGAGTATGAAAATGTCTTTTCCTTCAATCAATCAATAGATAATTGATAATATTTAGGCACTCAAAGCTATTTATAAGAAACCAATATCACTCTATACTAAATATAAATATTTGAGTGCAAGCGAGACTGCCAATTAGTAGCATATTTTTGAGGATACATTCTATTCCGCGATGTTTAACACTGAGGAACCAGTATTGCGCACGGAATCTATTCCATATAACTCCTACAATTTCGTTTATCACGACGATCACAATGCCAGAATTCCATGCGATTCCATAATCCAGTGATCACTGTGCGATTGTTGTTTCTTACTCCATGCTCTCAGGTCGAAAAACCCAGTGACTCGGAATACGATCCGGATTTCGTCGAGTTTGGTCGGGATTCGACGAGAGCTGATAGAATTCGGTGAAAACTATGTCGGATCCAGTCGGGTTTTATAGCGGAACTGAGTCACTGAATTCTCAGTTACTTTCGATAGATCATCATTACAGTAATATATGTCATTAAAATAACTTATTTTGTAGATTAGCTACAGAGTTTTCTGTATTTTCGGCTGGTTTCACTGGCCTCATTTCACTAGCCCTCATGCTTTAAACATGCTTTTATAGTTCGACGTGACATTGACTCCAACAGATAATTGACTCATCTCGTGCAGAAGCTCACATGCGCGATTTTGTTTAAAAAATAGTTATTGAATTTCGGCTTTGTTCAGCACGAGATATTAATGAATAAATGACCATCTGTAATTAGCAGCTTGTTACTGAAGGAATAACCAGATGTTTAAAGCATCTTCTCATTTAGAGAGCTCTGAAAAAATGTGTCAATAGTTTTTTTTCTTTTGAATTCATCACTATTCAACTGATTCCTGGACCAATCGTTCAGCAGTGTTTTATCTAGGTTTTATTTTTCGGGTGGGCGGTTGAAATTTTTGGAGGGGCTGCTGACTAGAAGATTTGTTATCACATAGTAACGGGTGGCCCTTAAAGAATGGTGGTCTCATTATTTACTCAATATCGGTTTTGCTCTTCATTGATTCGAACTGAACATTTTCCCAAAAGATTGAGCATTCAATTCTCTACAAAATCACGTGTAAAAGATTTTTTAAACTACAAAATGGCTAAGTACTAAAACGAAGAAAAAAGGTCGAAAAATCTTCAATTTTCAAGCACTAAATCCATTTTTTTTTGAAAATTTGCTTTCCATGTGAGGATCTACAAAAAAAACTGAGTCTACCATTTTAAGGAGCATCAGATTCTGAGCAAGATTCATGTCTTCGAATTTGTTTTTTTCATTCAAAATGAGTAAAAAATTCTGCATCAATATTTTCGCTTTTTCTAAAAGACACAACTATCATGTCATGTTTTGTATGCTTGCACTAAAACGCATGCCATTCACTTAAAAAGTGTTATTTTTTGACGATTTTGTTTTCTTTGAAAGCCAACATACTCGACTACACCCCTGTACACTTGTTCCAGTGATGCAAAGTTTCGTTTGCAGTAGACTTCCTTGTAAACCGAAATTAAGGCGTTATGGACGAGTTTTTAGAAAATATCGATTTAATAGGCGAAGACCACTTTTAAAGAAATGTTTTCAAAGATATCGAAAAGAGGGTACTTGAAAATACCACAAAATGTTTCTCCCTTCAGTTAAGTCTGCGTATAAATTATCGAAACATACTCCAAATGTTAATGTTTGTTAAGCTTGAAAGTTGAAGATTTTTTAACCTTTTTTCTTCGTTTTAATACTTGGCCGTTTTGTAGTTTTAAAAAATCTTTTACACGTGAGCTTGTAGAGAATTGAATGCTCAATCTTTTGGGAAAATGTTCAGTTCAAATCAATGAAGAGCAAAAACGATATTGAGTAAATAATGAAACTACCATTCTTTATGAGCCACCCGTTACTTTTATGAAATCAACTGTTTATTTTCGGGTGGACGAATGAAAATTTCGGGTGGGCGGCGCCCATCCTGCCCATAAGGTAGATGAATCACTGATCGTTCAAGGTATCAAGGAGAATTAAACGATTTCATGGTAACTCCAGGTTTTTAACATGAGCAAATATCATGCTTCTTCCAACCTGTTAACCTAAAGATACTAAACATTCATTGTGGCTGAGCATCGTTGAACTGCCAGGATAAAACTGTCTATTCTTGTTTGAAAGCTAAATGTTCAGAAAACGAGTTAATTAACACTAATTGAAATCAAGAAAAATAGTTGATGTACGAATTGAAACATAGTGCAGATATATTACTAAAGCATATAATTATACAGACCATCATCAGTCTTTTCAATGGAAGATTCAGATAGAAACTAGCTGTATGTCCCTTGCTGGTAGTTCTTACTTAAACTTAAGTTTAGAAATTCATAGTTTGCTATGTGCTATCGCAGACGACGAAAAAGTAATCTATCATGCATTATGTAAAAAAAAATGTATAAGCAATGGAAAGAATAGGATAAAACGAGAAAACATCGAGGCCGGAAAAGAGCATAGAAATAAAATATTGAAATTAAAACTCCGAGAAGCTTTTTAAGATTTCAATGAACACAACTCGTACTTTTGGTCAAATCCCTAATCATCAAATTAGCACACTCGTCTGATTATAGAAAGGAATGAGTTTTTTCTTAAAAAAAATCGATCAATATTCAAACGACGAGTCTGAGGATATATTCTGAAGATTTATCATTTCAAATGTGATAGGTTCGTGTGTCTGGTTATCACTACGGCTATGTCGTGGATTGTCGATAGGAAAAAGAACATTATTGACAGAAATTTTGATATTTCGATATTTTTCTTTTGATTCTTTTCGTAATTTGATTTTTAAACTGTCATCAATTTCCAGTAAGCCTTCCATTATCAAGAGATATATTTAGTTGATTCACTATTACATTTTATTAGTATTACTTCATGAAAAACAGTTAATTCCAAGGGGGAAACGGCGGACTTTGGACTTGAAGTAACTTTGAGCTACTTCCAGTGGTAAAATTCGAAGAATTCTTCGGCTTCAAATTTACATGAAGTTACAAAGGTACTTGTTCTTATTTCGGACTACTCGAGTAGTGCTTTTAGCTTCTGCAAGTATGTACTTTGACCCACTTTGCAGTACTTTTGACATACTTTTCTACTTCAAGTCCACCGTTTCCCCCTTGGTTAATTCTTTAAATGGCTTTAATGCCTGAATATTCTAACAGAGCTTGAAAAGTTAGAAAAAAAGAGCTTTGTTGTCTGACTGTATAATGGGCTGCCTATGCCCATCAAAACAATTTTTAATAAGTTCTATGTAAAATGATAGTTTAATAGTGTACGGGATACATATCAGTGGCATGTAACAAAATTTACCCAGGTCGATGAATCCGTTCTCCGGATCCTTCCGGAACCTGCCTGGAAACGGCTTCTTTCCGGTGATTTCCCATCGGTTCCCTAGTCCTTCCCGCCGGATCCTGCAAGAAAAACAGTAGGAAGTGAAAGCAGTATTCCATCCGGAAAAACCGTACCCTGAACCCTTAACTTCCTCTCAAATTCAGCCATAGGAAACTCTAAGGAATATACAATGATCCTAGAGGAGCAGGGAGGGGGAAATCAGGAATGCCAGCGGAAACCTTCACATCCAAAACGGAAAAGCAAAGGATACTGATGGGACAAACCGGAAGCACAACAGAACCCATGATTCTGCATTCTGAAATAAATATGAAAGATCTACGAAGATCACTAGAGATCTTTATTGTGAATACCTTAGGTATAAGGTATTTTTGTGATTAGAAGATCCAGATCGATAGAAAATCATATTTTAAGATCTTTCCTCGAAGAAACGCTGCAATTCGAACTTGATTTAATCCCGAAATCATGATTTTACTAATAAAGATCTTTGAAGGTGATTTGTTCTATTTACCTTAACTAGACGATATTCTGCTGATGGAGTGTACAACACTGATTGTAAATGTTGCTCAAGGAAGATTTATAACAAATCCTAAGTTCTATGTCGATTCTTGTTTTCAATTATCATCGATTAATATTAGAAATGGGGTTGGAATGATTTTGAGAAAGTTTTGGTATAAAAGAAGTATGCGAAGTGTTACCTGTGACTTACCTGAACAGGTGTGTTGAGCCTCTGGGGCTAGAACTTTGAATGCTCACTCCTGTGGATAGATTGGTGATCTTCAGGGTGTTCATCTATCGCTGGGTCTGTTTGAAGAGTCTCAGGCAATTTTGAAGGCATTTTACTAGTAGCTGCATGAACGTGTGAATGAACTTCTAAGTGCCGAGCACGTATATATATATATATATAGGTGAATGTCGGCTGCTATGCAGTCTGGATACTGTTTTAGTATTGCAATACTTGTTTTTTGAGCTCTCTCGGTTTTGACATATCTAACTCGGTTCCGTTTGGAGAGAATGGTCATTCTGCTCCAGTGCTTGTCTGTCAGCTTTCGTTCGTATCTGTGACAGATGCATTTGAAAACCTTCAAAATTATAAGATTTTAGTATTTTGTAGGTTTTTAGACTTTCCAGAGATGGACGTTTAATTTATTGCTTTTAATGTGTCGGTTTGTTTTGTATCAGATGTTTTTGAACTCTTGGCAATTAAATTAATTCAAATCAGCTCAATAGTGGTTTCGTTTACGTAGTTATCATGCATTGTCGCGAGGGATTATCTGACCTAAATAATATCTTCGAATGGGAAGACACAATTCAATAGTCTATCGTGGTCTCTACTCCACTATTGCTCTCAGCAGTGGGTTGTGAGCTGCGCAATTTCTTACGCGGTATGTTGTATCCAATCGGCTTATTCTCACACTGCTGTTAAATTCGTACTTCTTAAAACTGCTTTAAGAATGACTATCATGTCTAATTTAATCCAATGTTTTGAAGAGAGCCAAAATCTTTATCAATGCTTATATGGAATTGTATCTTTTTCTTAATATTCCATACATTCGAACATTGAATATACACTTGTATTCTAGAGATTATTTTGAGAGAGCGATCCAATTTGTCGATTGTAAGGTATTAAAGTCATGTAGTTATAAGGAATACGTTTTCGAATAGATCCTATCTTTCCCAGTTGCGGGATTAAACCGTCTGAAACGCAAGACGATGATTCCGGGGTCCGGAGCCTGCAAGAAACAAAAGGAAACCGCCTTTTCCGGCTAATTCCACTCAAATACAGACTGTTTCCCTCCGGAACCGCCCGGAAAGCACCCGGGAAATGGAAGCAGGATTCCAGACCGGAAATCATCGTACCAGATCCATAACTTTCCAACAAAATCCATTTGACCGGATCCACCCAGAAACTACCACATACGCAATGAACTCCTTCAGGAAACTACCATATCCGCGACGGACTATTTAACGAAACTTTCTGTAACCGGCCTGACACCGTCAAGAATTACAGCATACCTACGCGGCATCACACTCAAGAAAAAGATTAGCGTGACCGTAAACGGTCGTCAACACTATATCCACTACCCCGGGTCGATCAATCCCACAATAAGATCTGATTGGAAAAGCAGAGTTGGCACCCCAGGATCGAAATCCAATGCAATCTTACAGCAGAAAACCGATTGATAACAACCATCATTCAACTGTCGGATGCCAGGGCGCAATCGATGATGCCAGATTCGCATTCATCGACCTCGATAACCTATTACAAACTTACCTCAGAATTTCACTGGGAGTTGAAATAAAAATCTACCTTTACAGCTTTTGACTCTGGAGTGGACCTATTTTCTAACCAATGGAAGCCCATCTCGAAGAACTAACTATATATTCGGGTTCATGGACCTCAATAACCTATTACAAAGTGTCATCAAAATTTAGCTGGGAGTTGAAATAAAAAATCTAACTTTTCAAATTTTGAATTTCTGTTTGCGGCATTTTCTGAGCAGCTCGATATGTTCGTAGGGATTTGATGTAGTGAGTGACTGGTGTGATTTGGTGAAAGGCCAATAACATTAGAGTGTAGCGCAACTATTTGCTGGTATCGGTATGTGTTCGAACTGTTTGAGGTGGGAGATGGGTTTGGAATATGATTGAGGAAGTGGTTTGGATACCGATAGGTTGACATAGATGTCTTTCCGGTTCTGGAATTCTCGGGAAATATGTTGGAAACGTCGGAGATACTCTTACGGAAAGCGGCGTAAAAATTCCGTCGAAGATCCAATCGTTTCCAACTGTTTCCGTTCCTACGACGTGTATGTGGATCACAAAAGGAACCGCCCGGATTTTTTCCTGAAATGTTCCCGGTGTTTCCGTTGGAAAATGAGTGGAAAAATGGTGGAAAAATCCGTGAAAATCCGTTCCGGAATACTGCTTCCGTGAAATCGCGGGAATGTCTGGGAACCGGCCGTTTCCGGGACCGGAATGTGCGGCCTGGGAAGGAAATAAAGACGGTCAGATCTGGACGTTGCAACCGAATTGGAAACGGAAGGAAAATACTTGGGATCCTGCTACCGTGAAAACGCGTCGGAATCCTTCTCAGAAACGTTGCCGAAAACGGCAGTGGGATCTTCGGCATTTCATCCGGTTGCAGAAATCAGCAGGAAAGAAGCCATAAATGGTAGCCGTAACCGGTCCCGGAATACTGCTTCCATGTTTTTGTTGGAATTTCACCGGAAGCAACAGTTTCCCGCCGTACGGTTTGGGCCTGGGTATCATTCGAAACTTTCGGTACTATTTGAAAACAATCAGTAAATAAGAACTCGATCATAGAGAGGCGATAACACTGTAAAAGAAATCCGTAGAATACTAAACCCAAATAGGATTGATAAAAGTGCAACGTATAATAAACCCTTTTTCCGTTTTTGAAAATTTTCATAAACCCTAAAGGGTATTTTTCACATAATCATAAACGCTTTAAGGGTTTATTATACGTTGCACTTTATCAACTCTTAATGGTTTAGTATTCTAGGACATTTTTTACAGTGAAAGAGTTACAATTGCAAAACGCAGCATCTGCATAATGATATTTGATAGTCGTGCGTATTTAGTTAGATAAATTTTATTATCAAGAGAAGTGCGACAATATAGATAAAGTAATAAAACTTGTAAAAAGCAAGCTATCAAAGTCATTTAATAAGATATTATCGTTTTTATGACATACTCTGACGATTGCAAGGCTTGACGTCAAGTATTATTGTGTCCAATGAAATTCAATACTCTAAGTGACACTCTTTCTAAGAGGGATTCCAGTTGATGGCAGTTAAATGTTTTGTGAGAAATAGTATGATAAGGATTCAATAAAAAAAAAACTACGCAAAATATTTTTTGAAAGTAATATAATTTATTTTTCGCCAGATGCAAAGTATCAAAATATAATAGTTAGGAAGTGATAGTGGCACTTTGAAAACAGCATTGATAAGAACGTAAAACGAGGGCATGAACTTATAAAAATGGTAAAAAAATCGACATTCGTATCACCATTTTCTCGAGCAATGATTACAACATTTCGTCGGCATACTTTTCGATTACAAACATGTGCATTTCGATGCGCTGGTACACAGTCTGGTATGTTGTCATTAATCAAAACATCAAGCAACGAAGATAAAAATACGACTACACAAACATTGCCATCACTAAATTTTGTATCAAACCTCAACATCACAGAGAATAGTTTATCTAAAATTCTTAGCAATTTCAAGGAGTCAAAAGCGTACTATCGTCAAAAAGTATTGGAAGGGAATCATGAAGTACTTGGCATTTATACTGGAAACTCAGCAGTACAAGATACATTCCAAAAATTCTTTCCAGAATTAGTTCAAAGTCGAGGCATAACACAACTACACCAACTTGATCGCGAAGGAAAGCTATTCGAACGTTGGAATGAAGGCAATAACGAAGTGAGTATCGAACTTGCCGATGACAAAAAGACGCCTGAAGAGAGCGAGAGTAGAACCGATGAAAAAAATGGACATCTCGATGCACTTTTCATTGGTGGACCATCCACATTGACCTCTGCACTGCTATATCAACTTCGATATCCAAAGCATCATATACAGCACGTTTTTGCTGATCGCTTCGATAGTAATTATGATGGCTCTGCTTATTATTACCATCAACGAGACGCTGCACCTATATATATTAATCGTGTGAATCGTGGGCCCTATTGTGTTTATATTGACCTACATAAACGATTTATCAGTCCAATAAAACTAGCTCATCATGCCGAAACAGATCGGAATCATGTCAAAATCAGTCTCAATTGGGAAAATATCAAAATGAGATATATTTTCACTATTTTTATTCCCAACTTTTGGCACATGGTCACTGATTTGTGGATTAAAAATAAGAAGAAATCGAAAATAGCTCATGTTATTCAACATGCTTGTCGCTCAGTACCCATCGTACATGCGATTAGTGCATCTACAGGATTGCCCGTCGAAACTATGCTGATACATGGCGAAAACAAAGCAAATTATGTCGGCTTTGCTGGTTCAACCACTGACCCAAAATCTCATTTTACCTGGTTAAACAAGTTTGCTGATATTCCATTTGAGGAAATTTCACGCGAGGGCTTCGGATCAGAAGTTGTTCAGGTGTTAAATTTTCCAAATGATGGTCTCGTAGCTCCTATGATTATTGGAACTTTACAAAAACAATTAACCGAGAGAGCTAAATTAAATGAACCAGAACTAGACAAAAGTATTAGTAGTGGTGGTTTTAAACTTACAAAGTTACTAGTTCGGCCGATTTCATCCGGTAGCTCGACGCATCTACGTGTGGTTCGCGCGGAATGGATAGATATCGTCACAGGTCATACTCATTCGACGGCTGCTGATCGACTATTCATTTCACTTGGACCCAGCGGTCAATTTAAAATTGTTTCACCGAAAATAACATGGATGCAGCATGCTTTTGATGTTTTACGTGGCTCTTCTCAACGCCCATCAAATGTGATTGGAGGATATACACCAACATTGTTGTCTTTCTGGCGGCATACTTTGAATTCAATATCAAATACATTCTTTCGAGGTGTATATTGCTGTAAAGATTTTATTTCGGCGAGTGGTAGCAGTAGTGTCTTATTGCTCGGAGTCGATTTGAGCGAAGTAAATGCAGCGAAATTAGATGTTCTCTCACGTTTTGTCGACGGTGTTAACCAACACTGGACTTTGATTGCACAACGGGATGTATCACTGCTACAAACGAACGAACCAAATTCTCCAACAAAAACTTATCGTTTTTTCGCTATTCAGATGACCGGTGGTGGCAATTTCCCGTCACGATTTATTCGGCCGGATTATATGTTGAATCTACTGTACACAACAGAGAAAATGTACGGACTCGATGTGATGAAAAATGCTGTATACGATATTGTACAATCGCGAGGCTGTGGTCGTGCTGTTTCAGCTCAGAACACGATACGATTTAGTAATTTGGCAGACAACGCTGTGATCAATTATGCATTAGGCGGTATCGGAATGTCGACTATGTTTTCAAATGGAGAAAAAATGGTACAAATGATTGAGGAACAAGATTCGATGTTAAGGAAAACTGACAAACAGTCAAACGTGAATGAACATTTCCTGGAAGGAATCGATTATTCATTTATGGTAGACGAAAAACAACACTTAGCCAGATCCCTCGGTTTCGACGATAGTATGAGCCACAAAGAAAAACGTGTTTTAACGAGATTAGCATATACTATAGTGTTGACACTTGCTATCACTTTGTGGGCCAATCGCAAGAAAGTTCATTCTGAAAAAAGAATCTAATTTAATTCACACTAATAGAGTAGATTGCTGAACGCTTGATTTTTGTGTGATTATCTTTTTTGTTATCTATACATGTTACACTTAGCGGCGGCGCCAAGAATTTCGAACTGAGGGGCTCAGCCCCAACCTATGAAAGTTTCATATAATACAGTGCAAATCTTCCGAATCCATTCTACTATCTAAGAGTGCTTTTTAATCTGAATAAAGAATCAAACATGCGAATTCACATTTAAAAATA